AAAGGCAGGTCCATGGAACGGGGTGGTAAGAGCAGGATAATGCCTCTTGCTTGCGGGGTGTACACCAAGACCCAAGGGTGAATGGCACGCAAACAAGCCACCAGAGAAAGTCCTTCATTAAAAGCCAGGGTCCTGGGACATTCAATCCTGAATGTGTCTTGAGCGAGCACTGACATGGATTCCCATCTAGCAAAACCAGACACAATCATTGTATTTTCTGCAGAAAGCAGAACAAGGAGCTTTGAATCCCTGATTACCAGCATAGCAGCTTTTCTTGGATAGCCCATGATAAAGAAGCCACAGGAGAAAGCAACCCTTCAGCTCTTCCTGGGTCACAGCCTCACATGCCCAAAGGATTTGGCTTTCTCCTCTGCTTCCACTTTGCAATGGAGCTGGCTGTTAGGAAATCAGCTCTGGCTCCTTGAGGTCAAGCTCTGGCGAAAATGAGTGATTGAAGTTGGACAGATTTTTTATCTTCTGTTCCCTTCAACTCGAGCACGCTGCTCTCTCTTCCTGCAGCACAAGTCTCTCAACTCAGTAGCAATCATGAAAAGGGGTTTAGTTCTGAGATGAAACGGGAGAAAAACATCATACAGTCAATGTACTGCAGTCCTTTCCAGCAGCCAGGAAGGCATCCCACCTCCACACAGCGGCACAACTTAGCTGAGGTTGGAGACAGTCAGTCAAAGACGGTGCCTCCTCTCCAGACATCTATCTCGGAATGCACTGACTCACTCTGCAGAAGATTTTTCCCCTCTCTCTCTCTGTCCCTTTCCCTCTCTTGTTGTTTCTGGAAGGTCTTTCTGTAACTCATTTATCAACCGGACATCCTACTTCCCAATAGCTGCAGTGAAGAGATGTGTCTCCTGCCCCAGATGCTTCATAGAAAAGCACAAAGAGAGTACGCACACTTCACAAGGGGCAGCAGATGCCAAAACAGGCACATTCTTCACTCCTTGCATGAACCCTTGGCCAGCAGCCAGCCAGATGGATGAAAGACGTGCAGAGAGATAAGGCAACAGCTAAACACGAGTCGTCTTCCTCCTGAAAACATTTTTATTTTTGGAAACTGTTTAGACATTTTAAAGCTACGCTGATGTCTACATTTTGTTCACTTGACTTTAAACCGGGATTTATATCTCTAAGGAAAAAAATATTGTTTTTCTTCTCATTCCAGATGGCACCTTTCACAAAGGCAAGACAAAACCTTGTGAGTTACTAACATCTGGGCCTACTGACACACATCTGCACAGTTCAGGGGTGCTTAGACTGGGGGAGAGGAGTCCTTCCTGTTAAGCTGGAGGACACGCAATAAAGCATAAGGCAATAAATGGTCTCATTAAGGAAGGGGCACACTGTACACAAGTCCCCATGGAAGCTGCTAACCCAGGGGAAGAGTAGAACCAAACATTTCTGCCACTCAGAGAGGGACCTGGGGGGTGATTGACAGCCGGCTGAACAGGAGCCAGCAGTGTGCCCACGGGGCCAAGAAGGGCAACCGGCATCCTGGCTTGTGTCAGCACTGGCGTGGCCAGCAGGGACAGGGAAGGGATCTGAGCCCTGGGCTCGGCACTGGGGAGGCCGCCCCTCGCTGAGGGGGTTCAGTTCTGGGCCCCTCACCCCAAAAAGGCCATTGAAGGACTCGAGCGTGGCCAGAGAAGGGCAACGGAGCTGGGGCAGGGTCTGGAGCACAGGTCTGCTGGGGAGCGGCTGGGGGAACTGGGGGGGTTCAGTCTGGAGCAGAGGAGGCTGAGGGGAGACCTCCTGGCCCTCGGCAACTCCCTGCCAGGAGGGGGCAGAGAGGGGGGATGAGTCTCTGGAGCCAAGGAGCCAGCGCCAGGCCCCGAGGGAATGGCCTCAAGCTGCCCAGGGCAGGGTCAGGCTGGCTCTGAGGAAGGATTTCTGTGCAGAAGGGGCTGTTGGGCGTTGGAATGGGCTGCCCAGGGCAGGGGGGGAGACCCCGGGATCCCTGGAGGGGTTGAAGAGTCGGGCTGAGCCAGCGCTGAGGGATCTGGGGGAGTTGGGAACGGTCAGGGGGAGGGTCGTGGTTGGGCTTGAGAAGCTTCAAGGGCTTTTCCAACCGAGATGATTCTGGAATTCTGCAATACTCAGGTGAAACACCTACCTCTGCAGCAAGTACAGGCATTGCCTGAAGGGAGGATCCAAAAGCATGAAGGTGAGCTTCAAATCCTCACATTACAAAGTCTCCTTGCAAGAAAGTGTCCTCTGAGGCTTCAAGCTCCAGCCGCAGTGACCCCAAAGCAGGACATGTCACTCCCAGAAGCAGCCATCGGCCCTGCTGCCCCACGGCTCTGGACACCCCTGCCCGACAGTGCAGAGGACACACGCCCGTGTGCGGGATTTGCCACAGAGGCACTGAGCACTGTCCAAGTGGGTAGAGGCTCAGAGCCAGAACGAGTTACCCAAGTGCTTCTCTCTAATCCCACACTGTTCAGAAGATCCCACACCTTGATGATCTGTGAATCCTATAAGTTTCCCAACTCCGCACCCAACTCCTCCCCGGGATATGCTGGAAGTTGGCAGCTTATGGGCTTACGGTTTATCAAATAAACATATGTCCTCGGAAATACTTGCCTACACAGTCAGAGAGCTTTTTGAGGGAAACAAACGGTGCACACACACACATACACACATATGCTTCAGTGACTAAAACTGGAACCTATTTTAAAAATAAGTTTCTTTTCAGGAAGCCTGTTTGGGTCAATGGAGAATTCTCTCACTAAAGGGAGGGGCAGCTGGAGGAGCACATGGATGGTTCCTCTCTTACCACAGTCCTGTAGCTTTGCACTAACCAGATCTCTTCACTCCAGATAACACTGCTGGGCCAGGAAAAGCCCAGTTCTGAGAGATTCTTCCATACAGACACCATATATGTGCTGTATTTCTGACACTGTGTAGCCAGAATTGCTTATTTCCATTATTTCCTTAAAGCTGCACTAAGAACCAGGTTTTTTTCTCCACCCAGAAGGAAGATTTCATTTTGGATGCCTTCCCAAAGGTTTAAGTGGTGCTCCTTAGGACAGGCTTGTTGCATTATCTTTATTCATTCACCCCAAGCTAATTTTCAAAGCTTTTTCTTGTTAAATTTCCCCTTTTCATTGATTTTATTTGTAGCCCTTTTTTTTGACCACCTTGGAATGAATTTTCAAGCGGTTCTACTCTGTCACTGCAAGAGGTGGTCTTCAGATGATGTAGTCTCCTGGTGACACAGGGAGGAGCTGGCAGGCTCCTAAACGAACCTTGTCAGGCATTCCCTTACCCTTGGCACTGGTGTTTAGTCTTCTCATGGTTCAGCATCGACTGCTCTGCCCAAAATGTGGAGCAGAAACTGCTTCCACCCAAGCAAAGGATGGAAGAACATCTCTTCAATCAGCCTTCAAGCCTGGCTGGGCTGGCAGCCCCCTAAAACATTGTCTCCCAGCTTTATTGCAGAAATAATTTAACATAAGAATGAATCTTGGTGAAAAACTGAGCACATTTATACACAAGTGGGTTCAATCTGAACATACAGGAAGGGACACGGGGATACCCACTGTATATCAGGGCTCTGGGGTGCCACCTCCTCTTGGACAAATAAAAACCACCGAAGTGTGAGATGCAGCATCTACACAGGGAAAATTAAGTTTTCCAAGCTGTATCTTAAGGTCTCAACTCCTCAGGGATAAGCCAGGGCTGCTCAGCTTGCATTTGGACTAAGCATAACTCTGGGATAATTGCATTTAAGAAGTTTTATTTGAAGCCTGTGTCAGGTACTACAGGTAAGCTCCATGGAAAATAAATTTTTAATCCAGATGTAACGTGACTGAACCAACCTTTTACATTCCTTCAAAATTCCTTACTAGCAGGAATGGCCTTGACCTCCCTGAGAAAACTCTTCAGCATCAATATTGTCATTCAGACTTTTGGACCTTCTTTTCTGAAGGTGAAAACCTCACCTGTTTTGGGATACTGCTGTCCAACAAAAGATGGAGTTTCACTTCAGAGGTAGTTCAAGAATTCTGCTTCTCATCATTCTCCTCCTTGCCCACACTCCCACTTAAGTTTTTGTGGTATGTTCCACTTGGATTAATTCCCAGTTACAGCTGTAGACTACACTCCAGCTGTATCTGCATTACCAAGGTAGTTTGGGGGTTTTACTTTGCACTTTAGTCCAGTGCACAGGTGCAAATGATTCTTCCACAATGTGGTTCAAGAATTTTTGAAGCACAAGTGATAGTTTAGACTCTGATGTTCTCTTTACAGGCTGCACCATACCTGGATTGTTCCTGCAGAAATGCTTCTGGTGGTTCCTGCAGAAATGCTTTCCTTAGAGAGAAGCCTAACTTGTACACCTCAAAACCATTTTGTGAACCAAACCAGTGTCTGAAAAGTGGGAATGACTGGGGCACTCACTATTCCAGACCAAACGTGGGCACAGTCTCCAGTGCTGCTTTCGTCAAGGCTGCTTGGCTCTCTGCTTTGGCTCTCTGCTTTGTAGCTTCCCACAAACCAGTTGAGTGAACCCAGAGGGAAGACAAATTCCCTCAGGAATTCACAGGGAATAGAACAGACAGGTGACACATGGAGTTAAATATGTAGTGATAGAGCGTGATTTCTGTGCTAATCTGTACAAGGCAGTGACCGTGAGGCACAATTCTTTGAACAAACAATAAAACCAACTGGTACATGGAGTATCCAGATCTATCTCAAGATCCTCCTACTCCAAATTTTGTAGGAAGAGAGAAAAAAACTATTTTTATAACGTTGAAGAAAAGAGTTGCATGTTACTGTGTGAAGTGTCCAGGAAGTACCAAAGCACCCAGTGTTTTTATTACAACATTTATTTTAGTATAGAAGGCACTTACAATACAGAAAGAAAAAAAAAAAAAAAAAAAAAAATTAAAATGACAAAGAAACAGTTTACCAGACAAAAGGAGCACCCTTCCCTGTTAACAATACAGCACACAGAAATGAAGCTATTGATGACTAACTTTTTTAACAGTTAGGGCTTTTTTTGTTTTTTAATAGAAAAAGATAAAGGCTGTTCTACTGTGAACTGAAATTAAAAAAGAACCTCTCCACACACCTGTACAAGGATTTGGGAGCTGGTGGTGTTTGCAAACACGGGGCTTTTCAGCTCCGGCACTGCAGGAGGTCCTGGTACATCTCGATGAGGTGAGCGGCCTCTCTCTGCCCAGAAAGCACAGCACCGTGGGTAGTGGAATAATACTTCCTGTGAGTGGCCTCCCCTGAAAACATCACCTGCATGGGCTGGAGAGGGTAAGAAAAGGAGAAAAGCTCAGCAATACTTACTGGAAAGCAGACGGGAGACTAAAAGGAGACAAAACTCTCTGTGCCCTCCCGCATCCCCATGAGCTGAGACCGGTGTTTTTAGAGCACTGGTTCTCAAAATCCCAGTGAGGTGCACCCTGGGGACAGGCACAGCACATGTCTGACAAGGTTAAGCTCATCCTTGTTGCTACACCTGCTTGCAGGGCTGAGGCACCATCACGGAGCCGTATGCCAGCTCCAATAACCTCAAACAAATCTGCACAAGTCCCTAAGCCCCCTACTTCTCTATCAACTTTTCTTTTTGCTCCCCCACATTACATTTTAGCCTTTTAGGCATTGAGGATTTATTTTTCTGGACTGTAATTTCAGAAGAAAAAATAGTCCTGTCTGAAAACCCACAGGGTGAGACACAGCATCTTATCTCTTACATCAATAGTTAGGTGCTCACTAAAATTACTGCCAACTCAGTTCTGAGACAGGAATTCCAGGTACCTCTCTTCCTTGGGAACTACAGAGAAAGATTGCTAAAGCTCCCGTTATCTTTTTTAATAGATTTCTGTGCTGAACAAAATTACATGGTGGGGTCAGGCTCTAGATAGAGGACACAGACTGAGCAGGTGCTTGGAGGCTGCATATTCACCAACCACTGTCTCTGGATTTGGACACGTAACTCTGAATGAGGGGGTGAGTTTGGCTTAATGTTACTGAGCATCAGCTGAGCTGTGGTAACTACCTCCCCGTGTGCTCGTTTTCCATGTTGTATTCAGAAAGCAAGGCAGTGTCTGAGGGGCAAATTCACTGTCCCCTCTCAATGCACAAGTCCCCCAATCAAGGACTGGGCCTCCCTCACCCTCTACTGCCAACACAGAAAAATTTCCTAACATGCACCTCTGACATACTCAGATCTGGCCATTAGCAGGGGGTGTGCATTTAATGCTCCATATTCAGACTATGCTTTAAAACAAAATAGGGAATCCTGAACTGGCCAATAAAGCTAACGGTCTTTAAACACAGAAATCAAAATTTCAAAAACCACACAGATGCCTGGCTCTTGATAATTTCAGAGAGGGATGTGCAAATCCCTGAGATGTTGGGATTCCAAACATTAGAGAAAACAAATCCCACATTCATTATTTGTCCAGAGGTATATGTATTAAAAAATGGAAAACACATAACTGAAGGCCTAACCTGTCTCTCAACCTCCCCCTAGAAAATGCAGATATTAGTCCTCTTGCCACAGAACCAATTTGGGCCATACTTACAGCAGTTTTGGAGCTTTCGGCATAAGGCAGTGGTTTAGCAAGTTTCTCTACATCAGCCCCGCTAGACCCAACTTGGGTGTAAGAGTAGGATCCACGGAAGTTGGGATTGCTGCCCCAGGAGGACCGCAGGATCCGGCGAGGTTTCGGAATGTTTGGATTCCCTGGGTGGAAAGCAGGAGACAAAACGTTAAGACCGTGTCTGAGAGAAAACATGACAGTGTCTATGCAAGGTGTGAAGCATGTATTCTGTCTGATTTATTTAAAATACATCCCAGCAGAGCCTGCAGGCTACAGGGAAGAGGCCCTAAACCAGATCTCTTTTCTATTACTGAGTTGTATCTATGCAACAGAAAAAGCATTCCCTTTAATCTCAGCTGCAGTTTTCCTTTTGGGAAAGATCATTAAAATCCTTATGTTCCTAAGAGATTGGGAAGTTTCAAGGAACCCTGGACACAATTTGTTTGAAAATACAGAGCATTTCCTGGTCTCATTTGCCATGGTGGTGATCATGCATGTGATTCATCTCACCTAGGTCTTTGAATGCCCAGTCTAAACTGGAAGTTTAGGTAGTCTTGTGAGAGAGGTGTGCCTCCAAAGAGGAACAGAGATAATATGTCAGAAGGCAAATCCTCATTGAGGGGAGGGGGGAGGGGAGGCAGCATAGGAAAACCCATCAGAAACTTTTCAAAACCTGCATTACTCACTCCAACCGCCACTCAGGCTCTCCTCGTAATTAACCTAAAATCCAACAGATCCATTTTGTGGGATGCACATGTATGGGAAGAAGGCTTCTGAGGCTGGAAATAGAACTTTTAGGTTGCTGTAGGATTTCCACTGCTAAGAGGATGTAGGACCTAGAGGTGAGGGGCACCTGAGCGAACCAACGATGAGGCCATCCTCAGCCACTGTCCCCATCCCTAAGAGTACAGGAGCACACGGGGTCCAGGACTGTGGCCAAGGCACCTGCTGGCACAAGAGCCTCAGGAAGAACTGAAATAGTGAGCGACGTTTGTTGGAGAGCCTCTTGCTAGGCTGGTTTGAGACCACCTCCATGTCATTGAGGGAGATTTTGTTGGCATCCCGTGCTCATCTCTGGCTTGGCAAGAGAGGAATGGGGAGATGGCATGTGGAAAAAAGCACTGCAGATAAATTCTCTCTGCAGGGGAGCTGAGACCCACCCTTGAGGCCATCCCACATATCCAGGCAAGGTTCAGCTACTGGAGTCTGGGAGATTGTCAGCACGAGAAGCGAGAGTAACTGAAACATGTTTGCATCTTGCACAGTTCCTGTGCCTGGAATGCTTCAGCATGCTTAGCCTGCTCCGAAAACAATCCAGATTCCCCCACTTTCTTCATCAGGGCTTAGAGAGGGAGACATCCAACTGTAAAGACTAGTTAGGCACTACACTATTTAGTCCTACTAAACAATTATTTAGTCATGCCTTTAATTTCTTAAAACTGGGAGCAGGTTACATCCCTGGTTCAGCTACTGTTTTTAGGAGTATCATGTGACAACCAGAACTATGAAATAAAAGGCTGAAACAGAGCAAAGGCACCTGGATGGCTTGCCAGAATACACTGTGAACGCTTTCTAACCACTAACCCTCAGATCAAATGATGGCACAGACTAGCAAATAAATATACCCTACAAACAAAACACATCCTACAAATGAATGTTGTTTCAGGAATAAGAACTCAGCATAACAAAGCCTCTAAAATATGCTCCCCCAAGAATCTTCAAAGCAGGAATGCCTGGGATGGAAGTGAAAAGCCCAAGGGAGTCTGTGAACAGGGAGCTCTCAGATGCGTCAAGGAAATAAGTTATCACGTTTTATTTTTAAGGGCTGTGGGAAACACCATGAAAGCTGTTAGACAACACACCACCAAACAGGGCCAAAGCAGTCATCCATCACGCTGTGTTACACAAAAACAACCACACAATGTATTTTCAAATAAAAGGAGCTTCTGCAGTAGGCTGGTGGTGCCTCTGCTGTAGCTGATGCATGTTCTCATGTCGAGGTACCCGGAAGATTTTTCAATACAGGAGTCAACAAGCAAGATGCTGATAAAAAGATGATTAACATGAGGAACACAGAGTGTTACAAGCAATGAGATGTGGGCTTCTCAGCCTGCAGATAAGGCCACAGAGCTGCTAAAAGATCTATGGTGCAGATGGGCCAGCTCTCACGAGCTCCTCTAAGGTCCTCCAGCACATCAGACTGTGTGAGCACGACCCGAGCGTCTGCTGTGCAGCTTGCTGTGCCCCCACACTCCTGCACTGATGCACCTCTTAACGTGAGGAGCTGTTACTAAGTGCAAAATAAAGAGACCTTCATTTCGGTTGCAGATCGGTCGAAGGTCAGATGGGAACACGTAACACAAGCTCTGATCCTGGGAGGACCACACTCGTTTAAGGAGCGTATTTAATTGGACTTTCTCAATCCGCTTTTAAATAGATGGGTAAACATGTGGCTTTGCCTACAGAAAAAAAGTAACAATTAATAGAGATAGGGAAACTTCTAAGTTTCCACTGTCCAGAGAGATATAAAACAGCTAAAAAAGTATCTTAGCCTTCACTAAAACAGGAGGGCATATATCTTTATACCACAGATTTCCACTTGTGAAGGTACGGACTATCCATGTGCCTCAAATAACCCCGTCTTTATTCAGCTACTGGGACATGTGGCTACACAGATTTTTTGGGTTATGGGACTGATTATGAGACACCAGATTATCATAAAATCAACTCACAAATCTAAAATAAGACGCTCAAATTTAGTTGGCTGCCTGAGGATCCCAATCAAGGCCAACAGAGATCTGTGGTACTACCCACACATCAGTGTCTACAGCTACCAGAGAGAGATTAGGGTATCCCAGGACTCTACCTAGGGCTGGTAGATATGACACAGAACCTAAAAGAGATCCATTCCCCTCTGGAGAAATAGCTGGAGGATGAGGAGAACAGCTCAGGGCATCTCCAGCTGCAGCCTGACAAACCAGTGAGCCCTTCAGAAGGGAGCAGGCGTGCAATTACTGCCTTCTGGCTTCTAACACTCAGGGCTTAGCCAACAAAGAAACCAGAGCAAGACTTGCAATTGTTCAAAGGTATCCCATTTAATCAGATTTAGAGGACACTGCTTTTCAGCCATCCAGTTGTGAAAAGCAGTAATTGTGAATGGTTCTTAGGTTAGAATAATCCTCAGAGCTTTTCACAGCAAAGCCAGATAATCCGCAACACTAACCTGCATGTGAAATTTAAGGCCAAAGAGGCAGATCATCTCCTCTCAGAAAGAAATTCTCAGTGTGAAATAGCACCGAGTCTAAAAGAATGATTTTAACACAGGGCTGATCTCACACCCTCTGAAGCCAAAGCAAAGGCCTCTACAAGCAACAGACTGGGAAAACACATATGAAAATGGGAACCCACCTGGTAATGCATTAATTCTTTGATAGAATAAGGACATGAGAACATGGGGGATTTTATACCCAGAACATGAAAGCTACAAAAGGCAAAGTAAATATTAAAAGGCTCATACTACCTACTTTCATTACTGAATATAAGGCACTCACTATACTCATTAGAGAAAAGCTTCTTCAGAAGATGTGACAGAGCACCAAGTGAGGTGTGGAAAATCTGAACTGCCTTATAGAAGAGTTTCTTTCCACCAAGCTTAGGAACGTAGAAGGGACTAGTTTCCCAACTCTGCTAGCTGACTTACATGAAGCTGAGTGGTGGGAAATGTTTTAAAAGCTGCGTTTGGTGGTGCTAATTGGACCAGAGGAGTTCAGAAATGACTACAGTTAGATCACAGATAGAAGGCTGCTTTGTGACGGTCCTCATTGCTGACCCAGCTGGGTCTAACCCACTATCACGCTTCAAGTAAAACAGACTAGTGGAGAAGATGGTCAGCGCACGGAGAGCTGAGCAGGCTTCTGGTATTTCAGCCTGGCACCTGGTCCAGATTAGCCTTGACATATTGCTGCTTCTGTGAACCTGCTAGGGAAAACAGGAGCAAGGGGAACAGGATAAACCCAGCTACCTTAGCAAGGCTATCCTGGAAGATTTGTGAAAAGGTTTTCTACAAACTAGCAAGATTTTTAAGTAGAAAGTGGAACGGGTCATGTTGTATAACAGGTGCTCCAAGAACAGGTTTTCTTCTCAGTTTCAAGGAACTGAGAGGCCACCTCCCATCTTATGCACAAAATGTTCATTGCAGGGCATGGCCCCAGTTAATTCAGGTTGAAGTTCTCTGGGGTTAGATAACCCCGGGATTAGCAGAAGGCTGAGATAGAGCTCACACTGCTGAGGAGTCTGATGGACAGTGACCAGGTGCAGCATCAGCTGGAACAGCAACTGCTGCACATACCCATGACCCAGTGCCAACATATTTCCATCCTGGGAGGAAGAGAGAAACATCCAACACATGCAAACAATAACAACAGCGAAGGATCCCAAGAAGGAAGAGGGAGCGTATGCTCCCATCTGCCAAACCACAAAAAAAACCCTTGAAGAGCCACATTCCCACCGATGAATCAAGGTGTTTTGGAAAAAAAAGGGGACTTAAGCAAGAAGAGCTGCAACAAACAAGGTTGTTTATATGCTCTGGGAGATGTCAGCACTGGACAACTTGGCCTTAAAGATGAGAATAGCCTCCTGCTACGCCTGCGTAGGGCAGCAGTTGGCCTGCTAAGGTCAGGAGAAAAGGTGATGTGTACATGCTGACATTGCAACGTAACACAGGGATACCCAACACCACCGAAAACAAACAGCTCAGGAAGCTTCTCTGCAGGCTAAAGGGCAGCCACAAGTTCACCATCCAACAGAAATGCAGCACCAATCAAGCTGAAACATTCCGTTTTGGTCACTGCATTAGGGTTTCTGAATCCAGTGTCTACCCTGTGATTTCTAAAGAGATATTAAATGTAAAACCTCTTTTGGCAGTAGCCAGTTATCAGCTTCCAGGACTCTCTCTCTAGATCTCCATATTGTTGGTAGCAAATGGTCTGTAAGCACAGGGAAAAGCGACATTGTGAAGGCAAATTTCTTAGTTAACTGGAGGTCCATGGACAAGACACATGGTTGGAAACCCACTGGGTGCTGAGATTTGGCTAACATGAGTTAGAAGGCAGATATAAATTGCTTAATCACGGGACCCATCGCTAGACTAGCATAAAATACATCTAATCTTGGAGGATGCTGCTCTTAAAACTGATTATAATTATGTATAAATTAAAAATCCTTATTTCAAGACTGCCAAGGAATCAACCACTATTTTCTTCAGCATTATGACTGTGGTGCTGGTGCCTGTATGGTGTCTTCCATCAGAGGATCTCAAAGACCTCCGCAGATACAAAAAGCCCTTTTCTTGGGAAGGTGTGCAACCTCTAGTGAAGTGACTGCAGACAAACTAAGGCCCGGTGTGTTCAACTGTGACTACTTTTAATGATTTAATACTGGATTTTCTCAGTATAATACACCTAAGAACTGTCTTGCTCTAACTGCTGCCTTTAATGTGATGTTGTGCTCAGTAAATGTGAAATCTGTGAAGTCCAGGAAGGTTTAAGTCAGGTATCCAGAAAGATCAAGTCTCAAGATCAATGGATTCTTAGAAATTTAGGCCAATGAGATTTCCATATAGCCTCATGCTGAATGAAAGTCAGGGACGTGATTCACTACCACACCTCAGCTGATCTAAACAGGTTCAATTCCACTGGCTCTGACAGAGTTGGGCTGCTTTCCGCAGCTGAGATCAGTCCTCAGCAGCACTGAGCCCGAAAGCTCCAGCTGCCAAAGAGTTATTTGTGATTGAATAAAGCAGAGGATGTGGAATCTTCAAGCACTTCTGCCCACCACTTCCTGAGCTGGTTATCAGCCCCTCTGTATAAATAGCTTTCAGGCACACCCAAACAGGAGGTATGCTGGAAGCACACACACAGCCCATTCAAAGAGACATAAAATGCCAAAGAACTAAAAATTACTTTAGTGAATTTCCTTCCTAGAGGTTATTCAACACCCCAACCCCACTCTCCCTCTCTTCTCCACTCTACCAGATGAAGCAGAGCATGGCTGACCTGTAAATTTACGTAGCATTTCGGTGCAGGTTTCTGCCACAGTTTCATCATCGCACTTCTCCATAATCAAAGCCTCTTCTCCACAGATCCAGCCACTCAGGACATGGCCGTACCTCTCTGGTGGGTAGAGTACATCAAAGCTGCAGATCTTCTTGTACCACAGCTCCTCGGGATAAGTCAAGCTCTCACTCTCTGCCTCATCTTCCCAGACAAACTGGATGCTGTTGCATTCAGAGCTCCAGAAAGGCTCTTCAAACTCCAGGAATATCTTGTCAGTCGTATTGATTCCTAGTTTCTCAATGGCCATCACCTTCTCCTCGGGCAAGCGGGGATGAAACAGGCTCTCGTGGCGTTTCTTCAAGACTCCCAGGGACACAGTCACAATGACATGGTCAGCTGGGATGAACTCACAGTCCTCGCACTCTACGAAGACATCAGAGCCCTTGTCCTCCTCGGGGAGGTCACTGTTGTGGTCAGCCACCCTCTCAATCTCCTTGCTGACCGACTGGTTCCAGTGGATGCACTTGACCGGTTTGCGGAGCTGAATGACAGACTCGGGAATGGAGCGGGCCAAAATCTCCACGATTTTAATGAAACCACAAGGAATGATGTGATGAGCCCCAGGGATTTCGGTCCATTCCCCAAATTCACTGAGCGAGACTTCATCCATGCTGTGGGAGCTGCTCTCACAACTCTCTACCTAAGAAAAAGCAACACAAAAGCCACATTGCCACAGAGCAACTCATTTTGCCATAACACAGCAAGGGCACAGAGGAGGTGCACAAGGTGGGAGTCCTGAATCCCACTCTTAAACCACATTATTTTTGCTAGTAAAGAAGTGTTTGGCCATAGGATCTAACAAAAATCAATTCTTAGACTTTCTTCCAATCAAAGAAACCATTTTGTCACGGTTAACAAGCTGCATCAGCTTCAGTTGTACTGGCCACAGTTTCATCATCCAGAGTTTCAGGGATGATGTTTTTGCTTCTGCACAAGTCTGGGTTACAGTTCTGACTGCTTTCTATCATTTAAAACCCACTTCACTGGCCAGGGACTGGCTGCTTGGTGCTCCTACAACAGAAGCTGGAGCAATGTTAATCGGATGTTCTTTCCAATGTTAATAAATGTTCCCACGGAGGAGCCATGAGAAACTTTTGGCAGCCATTTCTGCTGTCTGCAGCTTTCAACATGCTGTCAAACAGTCAGCAAGCAGCACGCTAACAATCTGCCAGAGGTGAGAGGACCCAACACAGAAGGAACTGAAGGAGATAGAAAAGGGAAATGCCGAGACGTGTGACACTAGCGTTTGATTCACTTAGTGTGATTATCAAAGCTTTAAATTCGGGACCTGCTGGTTAATGTTTGCAGGAGTATTCAGCACAGGCATAGCTTCCAGCAATCCCTGGAACAACAGCAGGATGTTTGGCCTGTCCTGTGATAAGTTTCTAATGATAATACTGATGCATGGGACACTGCAATCTTCAAATCACCTGAGTCACAATAATTTGCACACTGTAATTCTTTACACATTTTAGCAAAGGGAACATTACAATTCCTTGCCTCACCCCTTGGAAAATTGTCCAGGGTTTTCCACATGTCAATGATCACCTCTGGAAACCTGGCAAGCCTAGACCCTCTCCCTGTGGAGCATCCTGAATGCAGGGCAGGAATCTCTGTACTCTGGGCTAAAATGTCAAGCAAACAAGTTGAATTTGTACTAAGTAGTTCACAGGCTGCTCCTGTGACTGTACTGACACACAGGGTGATTGCCCCTTTGTAGTCACCGCCCAATGACTCCAGTGAAGACTGAGCAGGCACAACTGCTGGGCCAGGTCACCAGCAGGTAGGTCTTAAAGAAGACCCATCCTCTGAGTCTGATGCGGTTCCACCCCATCACTTGTCAACATTCACCCAGGGTCAGTCGTGCTGGCCCACAGCACAAACCCTGCAACAGGCCGCTCCTCCTGCCTGGATGCTCCAACAGGACACTCCACATTAGGAAGATAACAAACAGTGGTGGCTCTTCGATTCTTTCAACCACGAAGGAAAATGCCAGGGAGAAAAAGAAGCAACTACCAAGACTATACTTTTCCTGAGACACCAGTTAATCCCCACTCTCTCAGCAACCACTCTGATGTGATAGTCTTAAGTATCAGAAGCTTTGCTGCTCTCAGGTATTTACACATGAGAAGGGATTTGCAAGACTTGAAGAAAAGTCTCTGGCTGTGGCAACCTGTGGCAACCACAGAAGTAACCACCAGCAAAACCAGAGCTATATCAAATGACTGACATTGTCTGCATGGGTGATGTTACGTGGAGAACACAATAACTAACTAGCCTTTACGTGTGTGGAGATGCCTTGTGATACAACTGGGGTATCAGAACAGCACTCAGGATGCCCGTGTTCAAATCTCAGCTTTATCACAGATCTCCTGTGAGACTCTTCAGCTCTTTACTTCTCTTTGTTTCAGCTTCTCACCTGCAAATAGTGAACACCATACACTTACCCATATCACAGAATGCTGCTGCCTCCCCTGCCTCATTTCATAAAGCCTTTAAGGCTTTATAATTGAAATAGGAATTACGGTTACACTTTACTTGTGGAGTGCTTGATGCAGCATTAAGTCCTCATCCCACAGAGATCTCATTTAGGCCCAGGCATCAAAGAGATAAAAAGAACTAGGAAAGCCATGAGGAAAGATGATTAAGACATGGGTTTATACAATCTACCTTTGATTTTTTTGCTTTACCTTCAAAATGATTTCTAGGGATTTCTTCAGCAAATTACTAGTATCAAAGTTAATTTCTTCTGGTCTCTCAGATATGGACAGAGGCAGAAGGGGATAAAAGACACTCAGGCAGAATCATGGGGTCCCAGGTGTAAGACATTACAAAAAGAACCTTAAAACAGAGTAGCTTCAGGTGGTAAGAAAACATTAAATCACAACAGAAAATTTAACAGGGCCTAGGAAAGCCCCTCCTAATTAGAAAACTGGAAGTTTAAGGTAAGAAGAGTAAAGGCATTATTTCTTGCAGCCCAGTGTCTTTGGATATGCCTCATGAGGGAAAGTTGTCAATATAAATACAAAACTGTCCCAGCTGCAAGAGACCACAGAAAGCAATTCCCCAGCGATAGGCAAGGTTTAGCCAGGTGTCCGAGGTTCCAGATTTGTCTTCCCTTAGTCAAAATAAAAAAACAAATGACATGCACACACACCTTAAGGTACTGCTGGATCATGGCTAGTTTCAGCCTCTTGACGGCCTCTGTGTCATCCGGATCGGCCTTGACACGTTTGCGCACTACGTCCCGTGTGAAGACGCCCACACTGTTCTGGCTCTCAGCATTGACTGGTTTACCTCGTTGGAAGAACTCCTGAGTCAGGTTATAGACCTGCCAGAGACAGGACAGTAAGATGGACAATGTGATTCACAGCAGAATCCAAGCCCCAAGCAGGACGCTTTTTCCTCCATCCAAACCCAGCACGTTCAGATCACCTTCTCTTGCCAACTCTAGATATCAGCTTCGGCAGTTTATTGGGTGCCCTGCTCCAACGCCGTGTCAGGTTGCACCCACAGCTATGCTGCTTAGAAGGAAGGAAGCACCACTTCCCCCCGGGCAAAGATAACCACCCTCACTCACCTGCAACAGTCTAGTTACTATTAAATCATTAACTTCCTATTCAGGTATTTTTTAATTCAGGCATGCCCATTCTATCACTTGCAGGACACAAACTAGGGCAGTCCTGCCATTTTCAGTAGCTAAAATCCATTGTTCAACCAGCTGTTCAGAAGCTGCAGCTGGATCAGTAAGCCAAGGTCATGCAGAGCAGGTTTGGGTTTGCTGTGTGTAATTTCTGGCTCTGCTGAGCAGTGTCACAGCCCAATGTGGCCCCAGTCTCTATCCAAAGTCTACTGGGAATGAACTCAAGCAGCAGGACCCACGTGCTTCCTCACATCTGACAATATAGCACCATCTCTTCTCCCACCTTGGTGTCTCAGGTGCAATCCCAGGTTGCATGACCCATACTTTTGATTGCTCTAACCTAGAACCAGCCCTTCCACCCTCTCCATTAATCACCACTAATGCCCAGGAAACCACCAGGGTGGTGAAATTCAGTTTTCTAGTTACTTTTCTGTTGTCCCCTGAAGAATTAGAAAGCAACCAACACAGGCTTAGCACAGGAATTTTGTTTGCATATATATTTTACTTGTTGAGTACAAGACAGGTACAAATCCACGGAAAACAACCTCTAGTAGCTCCTCACCAGGACTCAGACTGAAGAGGACCCACAAGAAACATTCCTTTCTAATAAATCATCTTTCTGTGAAGGAGATCTTCCTGATATTTTTTTAACCCCAGCTTTCCACTGTACAAGCTACTTCAAAGCAAGAAAACACCACCAGCCACCTTGGCCTTGTGGCTGTCTGTATTTTTGTCTGTAACGTTGCCAGAAGAGCCTTCAGTTGAATCATGGCCCTTCATTTCTGCAGAAAAAACTCTGAGGAATCTTTTAACAGAGGAAAACTTTTAAAAGATGCCTCCCAGAAGTGCAACTCATCCCATTAATGACTTGTTTGGCCAGAATGAGTCACCTTCTCATTTATATTGTGCCACAGGGGTGCACAGTACTCTTACAAGCAGAGAAGCAATATTGCTGCTTGGTGATTTTTTCCTGTCAAAGATGGTTTGATTACAATTTATGATCCTTTTCTTGAGACAGATTATTCGGACATACTAAGAAGTTCAAAGTAAATGCCTGGTAGGAAGCTGGCAGAATTGTGGCAGCCTCTCCTCCAAGGCTCCTAGAGCTTCCCATTGTCTGCGGATATGGCTAATTCACCACGTTTTAGTTCCTTCCCACTCTGATTCTTCTCAGAAGCTTTATTTTCTCTTGGGTTTTAAGAATAAAGTGAATGTAAGGAGACAAAATAGAGGGACGATGAGGAAAGGGAGGTGGTGAGGAAAAATTCACAGCAGTGGTAGGAGTGAGAGACAGCAGGTGTGTGAGTGGAGAAAGGTGCATAAGGGCAAGTAAGGCATGAGGAGGATATTGAAGAAGAAAATAAGTGAAAGAAGATTAAAAAAAAAAAAAAGGTGAAAATACAAAACCAGAGAAGTCATCACAAGAAAAATGAGTGGAACTAGTGAAGACAGAATTGCAGACACTGATTGGGACACAGCTTTTCCAAGGAGACTTCCAGACAAGAAAGGTGGAGACCAAAATCCTATATGAAAGGAAGCTTCCAGCAAAGGAAAGGAAACAGTGCTTGCTCTGTTCCCCAATGCCAAAAGCTCTTTGGCAGTTTCAACATCCCACGGTTCTCAGGTCCACTGATTTCTGAGGCCTAAACCACTTCTAGCAAGTATAAGCTGCATAGACCATGCGTCAGCATAATGCAGCTCAGCTTTTATAAGCCGATTGCACACCATAAGCAGATAACGCATTCACAGGACAAGCAAAGCTGTGTTAAAACTCAGCTACCATTTGGCCAAAAGGATAAGTGAGCCATGGGTATGTTTTTACTAACCATTGTATTCTTCATTGCCCAACAGAGAAAAGAGCAGAAAAGCACAGTTCTCTGTGCTGTAAACATCAGGTCAAGGCTTTCCTATATATGTCACCCCATTGATCAGACAGCAGGGAAATATAATCACCATAAGGTTTGTTTTTTTTTTTTTTTCCCCCCTCAGAATCCCTGTTATATCCTTGCTTTTCTCTTCTTGGGGGTGCTGAACCATTTGATGAAGAATAGAAGGCAAAGCTGTTGTAGGCAAGAAGCAAAAGAAGAAACAACAGCAAGTCCTACATTAAGAGATACATTGTCATAATAAAAGAAACAAAAAAAAAAACCTCCCTCAAAATGTATTCTTTAATATGCAGTGAACTGATTGTGTACAAGTAACTATGGAAAAGGTTCACTAGAGGCCATCTTTTAAGGGAGATAACCAATAAAGTAAGTGCAGAATTGTACTGTTTGGAGTTGGAGTTACCTAGGCTTTCCTTCCCCAGGTGGGAAAACTGCTCCTAAGAACAGAAAGCATCATCACGCCCGTGGTACCACCTCTGAAGTCACTGGGAACAGGCATCTGTGGGATCTGCAAACTCATTCTCCTTCAATCATTTCATCATGACAGAAGGGTTCCTGCGAGAATTCAAGCAGGCTTTATCTCAAATTAAGAATGACCTGAAAGATTCTGCTGATTTTCTAGTTAACCCTACAAAATATACCAGCCACAAGAGCTATGCCACACAGAGTCGTGACTCATTTCCCTTTTCTGTTATCACAGACCTGATACAAGCAGGAAGAGAAAAAAAAAAAAAAAACAAAAAAAAAAACACACCACAGCAAAAGGATAGACTGCATCAACTCCTAGTTCCTACAACTGGCAAATTCACATCCCAGCACAATGACCTGATCACTTCTTACTGTAAGGCTCCTCTGGGTTTGGGCAGAACAATTGACTCTAGAAGCCTGTCTGCAAGAACCATCAGCAAAAGACGCAGAACATCTCAAATGACTATTTCATTCTGAGCGATTTCCTTCCCTAATTCTGAGGGTTTCCATATAATCCTGCAGGGAAATGGGGCTGAAGGTCAGAAATCTAAAGGAGTTAACTGAATGGCCGTAGCCCTAAAATGGCTTCAGTTTACATCTTCTGTCTTCTTTCTGACCAGCTTTGGGGCTTCCCACAACCGGGGTCTCTGCCGAGAACATGGGTTCCACCAGGGATGTCCTCTCTGTTACCTACAGACTTCCACCTACACGTGTTTACTACATACGTGCTCCTCCACCACAGGAAGAGGCAGTCTCTTAGGAAGAACAAATCTAAATAAAGAAGTTTCTCAGCACTGAAGGAGGTCAGGAAAGCACATCCCAATCCACACTCCTTCCTGTCAGCGCCGGTGACGATCCATTGCATTGTCTTTTTCTCACATGGCTTAAAAACTGCAGTGACTTAATCACTGGGCAGTAAAAAAACCCCGACAGAGATAGGTCCGTGCTGTTACCAGGTCAGACATCTGTCAGTGCAATAGAGGGGCAGGGAGGGAAAGGTGACTCTCGGTGGCCCTTCGGTCCTGCTTTCTACGATAACTCAAAGCAAGGCCCTGGAGCTTAATTGGGGATGGCACAAAGCCCAGCACAGGGAGAGGGTGAGAAGGGTGGAAAACTTTGTCATTCTTTGGCTGCATCCCTACCCCAGAAGCTGTGCAGCACACAGGAGAAAGCTGTCAGATAACAATGCCATTACTTAGCTGATTGTTAAAGGGAGGGTTCCTGTGAAGCAGGTCTGTAGGGACCACATCCTTACTGAAAAGCCTATGTAAAAATAGGCACTTTTTTCTAAAGCAGGCTGGCTGATGGACTGTGAAACTCACGGGCAGGCAAATCAGTGGGATTTTTCACTTGCATTTAACTTGTCAAGCTCACCACCTCTCTCCTACCCTTCACAAATACCTGGGAGATGGCCTTAAATACCTCTTTAGAGAGGGAAATGAGGACTTAGAAGGGACAGAAGAGCAACTCGGAGATGGGTTGTCCCTCTTCACATTGTCCCAGCAGTTATACACACACACAGACACTGAAGCTGCAGATGTTACACTCAAAGGTCACGCTCCTGTCATTTTTCTTTGAGGGTTGTGCAGATGTGCTATAAGCAGGCAGAGGATAAAATCCTCCCCCAGCCCCAGGATTCCCCCAATCATTCTAGCAGAAGTGGAGAGGAAGGTGGGAAGATTATGAATACATGGCGTGGACATCACACCCTGGAGAACCTTCCAATGCTGGTGCCCCCTTCCTTTGAGAGACTCTCTAAATGGACTGATGATGCTGAGCAGTGCCAGTACTGCACAGTACATGGTCTAAGCAGGATAGTCTTAAAACAACAGTGGCTGGAGAACTGTCCTGCTAACAGAAGGCTCAATGCCCTTTCTCATGGTGCATCACTCGGCAACGTGTGGTTGGAAATCCAGGTAGCTGCTCTGCAGGACTGCAGAACTTCCTTGCAGGAATTACTCAGTTTTCTAGTACTCTCACGGAGGAGGATTCAGGTCATCTCGGTCACAAGCTTGTGATAGATCCTGACTGACTTCAGTGCAGTTCAACAGCCTCTCAGTTGAGACAGCCTCTCATAGGGACCTTTCTGCTACAGAAATGAAGAGCTGAGCAGTCTTCTGCTGGCTTTCTCGTAACCAAATAAAGGCTTCTGTGAGGCATCCCTACAGCTATTAAAAATTCAAGCTACTACAAACAAAAAGAAGCAGAACTTGTATTGAAGTAGAAGCAGACAGCCAAAAAAGATTGGACAAGTGCCTGGAAAAAGTGTAAGGAAAAGACGCAACTTTCCAAGTGAACTAGAGAGGCAAAGCTCTGGAGGTACTGGGGTGCCTTGCCTTTCACGCCAAGGAAATTCAGCACACAGAGGAGAGACCTCGCCTTGCTGGGCTCCAGCGACTCCACATACCCGAGTGAAACACTCGAGGGAGAACCATCTGCACTTTCCATTCACTAGGATCTGGTGTCCAGATGACAAGATGACTGGGGCTAGAGAGATACAGATGGAGAAGCAGAGCTGGAGGCATATGCTCGAGCCCAAGCACGTGGCAGCAGCTGCAGCAAAAGAAGGGCAGTGTGTGAGTGCATGGGAAGGGAGCCGGCTGTGCAGGGGAGGGCAGGCATTTGAAACTGTGACAAATTTAACCTTGTTCATTCAGGACTACATTTTCCACTGTTAATGCCAGTGCTCCATCCCCGGTTCGGCTTTGCACCCATCGTGTGGTTGGTGGTTGTTTTGCTTTTTGTTTGTTTGGTTGCGGTTTTTTTCCTTTTCAGTGTGTCACAGCCTTTGCAATCTCAGCAGCCTGAGAGATGAGATGGTATGACGGCAGGATTGCTAACAGCAAGTTGCCCCAAGACTCTGAGAAAGGTCTGGGAGCTCCTACGAGGCAAAGGAGGAGCCTGATCTCAGGATCTGGTGATCTATAAAATGACTTTTTGTCCTGGATAACTTCAAGATGTTTTAACAAAATGTCTCAAAATAACCACCTGTTCAAAGAAACAGAGATGCAGAACTGAAGATCAAATTCTTACTGTTCCTCTCCAGCACCCATTTCATCACCAGTTAAAGCAAGGGAGTATTGGCCAGCTGGGATGAAAAAAAATGAAATAAAAATGATGGAATGGACTAGTGAAAATGAAAAAAAAAAAAAAATGCTGGAGGAGTGGGGGACTCAACAAAACATAAAACAGGAATGCACCAGGCAGACTCAGCATGTGTAAACAGAAACATTCTCTGCACTTTATGCCAGAGGAAAAGGTCCCCAAAGCCACACGCCTGCTGCACATGCTCCTGACTGCCAACCCACCGGGGCACTTGTATTTCCTAGTCTTTAACTGGAGATTTTCAGGAGCTCAAGTAGCACACCTTAATTCCTGTATTTCCTACGCAGTGCAGGGGGGGAACCACAGTCAGCTGTCTTAAATCACTAAAGACTGTCCAATGTGACACCCCAAAAAGGCTGAGACAAGAAGCTCACAAAACCACGAGCTACCCCAGCAAGAAATTCCAGCACACTTTGAAGGAAGGCAGAGAAAGCACCTCACCAGCAATTAAGGGGTTGGCTGATGTCTTCTTCTTGACTTAAGCTATTCCTTACATATTTACCATTTACATTCAAATTACAATTTACATACTTAAATTTTTACCATCTATAAATGTGAAAGCCTTTTCTGTCTCCTAGCGATAAAGATATCCTATGGCAACAATAAGCTAATTATGTGTTGCGTAAGGAAGATTAACTTTTAATGTGTTGTTCTCTCATGTCACTGGCTGCCCCCTTTCTCTTGCTTTAAAGGAAAGGGTAGATTTACCAAATTAATCATTTCTAAAACACTGGCACCTTGCTACAGCCTTTCTCTTACCAGCTGTTATCTCAAAGCTAAGTAGCTCTCATCTTTGCATTCTCATTTCAGAGTCTGCCTGCCTCTGACACCCTCCTTTTGCTAGAGATTTTCCTATCATCTTTGAGACAGGATGATCACCGAGCACTGCACACAGCTTGGCGGTGTTCCATTTACATAAATAATGCTGCTCACCGCAGTGTTTTCACTTACTCCCTCGCTCTTTTCTAGTCTTAGTTGCTGTTAATCTTGCCCCACATGCATCTCACCTGTCTTTTTTTCTTGGCTTGCTCTTGCTCTGTTTTCAATCCAGTAATGTAAAAAAGTTGTTCAGATGAATTATCTCCACCTGCGCTTGTCCAAGGAGAATTTGCTCCCTGCCATGGTTTTGCTAAATTTCTTCCATAATGAGATTTCTCTGAAACTCCTACTACCCCCTCTCTAAGACAGAAATGATTTTGTGCCACCCCATCACAGATTCTAGTGCAGAGACCCAGAAGAGTGTCAAAAATCTTTTCAAGCAAGAAAAATCTCCATTTCTGCTCCCCACTCAATTCATGGTAATTCTTTACAGGCTACAGTGACTCTTCTCTTGGTGGCTTTTCTAAATGTTCATGGATATATTTTTAAACATAAAGTATGTAAGAGTAACCTGAATCTAGTGTGTGTTCAGCCAAGCATCAAATACTGGTGAAATCCACTGTCAGATGAAAACCTGAAGGTTTTAAGGCATGGCTACAGCCTGATGAAAATAACAATGTTTTGCTCCTTTTTATATAACCCACTGAGAGATCACATTACCTGGAGCACTAGACATTCTACACTGACCACCCTAGATGTGCTTCTTAAGTAACATTAAGAAAATGGGGAATAATTATAATTAACTTTGGCAAGCCTCCTTCTTTCATTTCGCTATTCCTAAGGCCAAATCTCCCTACTGAAAGCAGATTGAACTAATACCGATCTCTCATATGTGTTCAACATACAAATCAGTCAGAAACCCCATTTTCTCCCTGAAAGAAATACTAGGATGACAGCAGCAGCGCTGAGCTTACTGAAAGCAAATTTGGCCTTTTTGCCTGAGCCTAACATTGCCTCATTGCTTTTTTAGAAGAGGTTAATCTTTCCACTAAACATGCATTTTCATTTCCATCTTGTAGGCTTCTATTTAGTATTTTTAGGTTCTGCGTCTGTAGTTGTTTGGGGTTTGGGTTTTTTTTTTTTTCTATTTGGCTCTTCTGTCACATACTGAGGCCCTGATCTACATTGCACTGAAGAGGACGTCACCGCACGTTTCAAAAGAAGTTAAAATAACCTTAAACTGACGTCCACACTGGTCTGAAACTACCAGAAAAGATGTTCCTTTCCTTTTGATGCAAGAAAACTTGCAATTCCTACAATACTGCACTGACTTTGGCATACTACGCAGCACACTATGGTATTTATAACATCAATAAAATGTCACAGGGCTACAATATTTAGCTGGTTGTTGCTAAGGTTTTGCGTTCTACTTCATTTAGTAATTTGATCCCTCCTCTTCTCTTTTAATTGAGTAGCAAGTTTCTAGAGCAAATGACTGGATCTCCCCAGCAATAGTTGCTGGAAGTGATTAAATTGATGACAAATGTGGAAAGATTGTTCTTCCTAACAACAGTGAGTTAATCCCACATCAAGGACAAAGGGGGTATAGTAAAGCAGATGAAAGCAAACTAAGTGTTCATTTTTTGCACAGAAATTGAAAGATGTTACTGGTTTTCTACCTTTGTCCAGTACCCAGAACATTTCACACTGTTTCAGGCAAATCTACAACCTGATAAAGCAGCTGAATACCAACCTCGTTGTATAAATCACTGAATTCTTCAACCACATCTTTCGGGATCCTCTGCCCATTGTTGGTAAGATGATAAGCCACCCCATTCTTGGAGTAAAGACTGATCCGTCCAACACTTCTCTCACCATCAGTAGTCTCTTCAAGTAAACCATTGTCTTCTGCTAGATGATAGACTGGGTTTCCATGTGAACCATGTATCCACGTAGCTCCCAGTTCAAAAGTGGCGTGCCCTGCAGGAGAGTAAACGAAGCAAACTAGTTATTAAAGCCCATTTTTCTGAAAGTCTGTCACGTCCAGCCCTAAATAAAATGTACATGTGCAAAAGCAGAACAATCGCCCAAGGACAACACGTGTTTGCACGTCACTTAAGCGACCTTTCTCTGTTAGACAAGGGCACTGCCAGTGTTCTTCAAACCTTGGGGATACAAGCTGAGATAGTGCTGGAAGGACGGGATGTTTCCAACAAAGATACATCACAGTGACACACTTCTGATACTTAAAGTGAAAGTCAGAATCTAGGTTCCAAGCTCTTATCATGGTTGTTGCTAGCTGCTCTGTCCTTGCTACTCGGCCTTTCTAAATCATGTTCTCTAAACCTGCCCTTAAGAACATGATCAGACAGCAGAGGATGTACTGCTCCTGCTGCAGCACAAGCCATGCACTAGTGAAGGGGGCGTGGGAAGGAAAAGAGCTGTAAGAAGCCACACTGCATTATTGCAAGAAGAACATATAAAGATACTTACACAAATACTGTAATTGTAGGGAAAGAATAGAGTACCTAAAGACTTCAAATATCCACTGTATTCAAGAGGAGGCGATGGATGCCCAGACACAGGAAGAAAAGCATCTCCAGCCAGGAGATGTAGGAAAACTTGCATTTCCCTGGGATAGCAACATTGGCCTGCATACTGAACCTTGTCCCAGGATTAAAAATTGTTATTTAAAAATACACCTCAGAACAACTGCAATACAAAAACGCATTTCCATTCCCAAAATGAGCAAATAGGTTTCGTTTCATTATTTATGCCTTTGAAAATTTAAATCAGGTTCTTTAAAAAGATGCACTGTCAGGTTACACATCAGATGCATTTATTCTTCACAGAATCCCAGAATCATCTCGGTTGGAGAAGCCCTTAAAGCTCCTCCAGCCCCACCATGACCCTCCCCCTGACCGTTCCCAACTCCCCCAGATCCCTCAGCGCTGGCTCAGCCCGACTCTTCAACCCCTCCAGGGATCCCGGGGACTCCCCCCTGCCCTGGGCAGCCCATTCCAACGCCCAACAGCCCCTTCTGCACAGAAATCCTTCCTCAGAGCCAGCCTGACCCTGCCCTGGGCAGCTTGAGGCCATTCCCTCGGGGCCTGGCGCTGGGGCCTTGGCTCCAGAGACTCATCCCCCCTCTCTGCCCCCTCCTGGCAGGGAGTTGCCGAGGGCCAGGAGGTCTCCCCTCAGCCTCCTCTTCTCCAGACTGAACCCCCCCAGTTCCCCCAGCCGCTCCCCAGCAGACCTGTGCTCCAGACCTTGCCCCAGCTCCGTTGCCCTTCTCTGGCCACGCTCGAGTCACTCAATGGCCTTTTTGGGGTGAGGGGCCCAAAACTGAACCCACTCCCCGAGGGGCGGCCTCCCCAGTGCCGAGCCCAGGGCTCAGATCCCTTCCCTGTCCCTGCTGGCCACGCCAGTGCTGACACAAGCCAGGATGCCATTGGCTTTCTTGGCCCCCTGGGCACACTGCTGGCTCCTGTTCAGCCGGCTGTCAATCATCCCCCCAGGTCCCTCTCTGACTGGCTTCATCACTTACACTCTACCTGCAAAACACAGAGTTTGGTCAGCCCCACTCTCTCCCTTCCTTATAACTAACGGGGTTTGCACCGGGACTCTGAGCCCTGCCCCAAGCCAGCACTGCCACAACTGGGCTGACAGCACAGGGAGATGTTCAGCAGCTGAAAGGAGGTGCTAAAAATAAGCTTGGGTCCTGTCCTCCACCCACGTTTTTACAGATTCTCAGAAGTCCAAAGCTAACTGTTTTAAAGTCTGACAAAGCTGTGTTTTCCCTGCATCCCAGCCAACACCACACTGCGCAGCTCGCTCTGCAGAAGTGTGTGAATGCCTGATTAAGTAGGAGAGTTAATAGGATCCTGCTTGATGAAGAAAGGATCATGCAGTTACCAGTCATCATATACTGTTTAACATGTAAATATATGCTCAAGGAAAAAGACACTGCAGTACTAGGCTATAATGCAGTAGAGTTTAACGGGTGAAAGCTCCAAAAAATGCTGCTTTCCAGCTGAGACACAGCCTCCAAGGGAAGCTCCTCATTTCTTGTTTTGCAAGCAACCACCTCGTCACTATGGAGCATGCTGATCGCCCTTCAAAATATGCATTAAAGGACTCATTTCTACGTGTACCCAAAACAAAGTACACGCTTCAGAGTGTTACAGCATCAGCGTGTGAATATTTAAGGCGCCACAAACTCCGATACACTCCCAGAGCACCCAGCCTGGCGGAAATGACTGCTGTACGTTGGCAGCCAAAGGTACAAAGCTCATAAATATTGCATGTGGCAGTCACCTTGTTAATGCAATCCTCCTGCGAGTCATCACATGCCAAATCAGCAGCAGGAATACTGCCTGCTGCTTTATGTCAGGAGCTTGCTCTCTGCTACACTAACAATGTATATAGCTTTTATTTATGGGGCACCTGATCTTTTGAAAGAAAAAAAACATGCCAGCAGGTCCCGCTGTCTTGGTGCTTGGTAACGATGTGTTCCAAGTTCTCCTGTTTTCAGAAGCTACGAGGAATATAATCAAATACCAACAAATTAAAAATAGTCATTCTTGCCTGTAATGCTTAGAAACTCACTAGCATAACTACCAAGCAGATAAGCCAGTGGTTATCTAGTGTAAATTTCATGATAAATTAAAAATGTAAAATTAAACCAAACCTTTTTAAACAGAGATAGCTAATTTACTTTCAGGGCCTTAGAAGATTTTAGGTTCAATATTAATCTACTTTGAATGAATCACCGAATACCACAAAAAATGGAAAAAAAGCTGCTTCCTATTCTGTGAATATAATTACTGAGACACAAGCAGCAGTCAAGAGAGGCCTATACACAACAATATGACACAGCAGCAATATTCCAAATCAACACACAGATTGCCTATCAAGCCTTCTGAATACGCACAGGAACTCTAACATTTCCCTTTGCAGCCCTGACTACTCCTCTGGCATCTTGTTGTGAAATATCTGCAGTGAATACAGATGTCATAGATCACAGAATCATAGAATCAGAAGGAACCTCAGGGATCATCTGGTCCAACCTTTATGGCAAAACCACGCTCTAGACAAGATGGCCCAGACCCCTGTCCAGCTGAATCTTAAAAATGTCTCATGTTGGGAATCCAACACTTCCCTGGGGAGTTTATTCCAGTGGATGATTGTTCTCATTGTGAAAAATTTTCTTCTTGTGCCCAATTGGAATCTCCCCAGGAGTAGGAGTAACCTGTACCCATCACCCCTCGTCTTTTCCATGTGACTCCTTGTAAAAAAAGGGACTGTCCATCTTCTCTGTATCCACCCTTTAAATACTGGAACATGGAGATAAGGTCTCCCCTAAGCCTTCTCTTCTCAAGGCTGGACAACCCCAGCTCTCTCAGCCTCTCCTCACGTGCCTGCCCAGGCCCTTGATCACCTTTGCGGCCCTTCTCTGGGCCCTCTCCAGCCTGGCCACATCGATTTGTATAGCAGGGACCAAAACTGAGCGCAGTATTCCAGGTGTGGCCTGGCAAGCCCTGAGGGGAAGGGGATAATGACTTCTTTCTCTCACTGGGGATGTCCTTGTTGATGCAGCCCAGCATCCCCTTGGCTTCCTTTGCTGCTGCAGCACAAATCACGTACAAGAAACACACAGTCCACAAACACACAAACCCTCTGCTTCACCTGTGCTAGAAATGATGAACCAAACCTCTGAAAATCCGGACTGTTCCCCTGTGCGGAACAGCAACATACTCTCTGTAATTGGGGGGAAATAGTGTCCACACATCAGGGCTCAGTAAGAGTCAAAGTATTTGGATATAACTCTGAGAATGTGCCTCCATAGCTCTACTGAGGATTTAAACTGGATCTTCAGTCAAGTGTGCAGACAGGGGAGTGGCCAAGGAAGTTTAACATTTAAATGCCATTTAGACAAGCAGATCAAAGTGGTCATATCTGGAAGACCCAGAAAAAACACTTCTGTAACAGTTTGCTGTAAGCTTTAGCCAGGTCTGAGAAACAAGCAGGTCTTGTACGCCCCAGGTGCAATCCCACTGCTCCAGGGACTGCAGAGAAAGAAAACAGCCCAGGACCATGCTGCCCATTTGCCCTCGTACCAGGGAATAAGGAGGTTCTGAGTTTTTTAGCACCCAACAGGGCTCCCAAATTATTTGGCTAAAGGGCATGTGAATCTGCAGAGTGGGCAAGGGGCCAGAACATGGACTCACTCGCCTTGGGAGAGAGCTGCAGTGCATACCCACGCAGTGTAATCTTGATAATTTGCAGAAGCTGGCCAGCTTGTAGTTTTAAGAAAGGTATTAAAAGACTGACACTCTGAATTCCAGTCCTCCACTCAGAAAATAAGTTACACCTACAAACTGCAAGAGCTCCACCAGACTGAGAAGCTGTTCTTGTCTCATGTTAGTTAAGAAGTGTTAACAAACAGGAGGCAGATTCCCAGCAAAGGGAAAGATATGAATAACTGGTGAAGGTGTCCAAAGGTAAGAGAATTGGTCTCAAAACTAGTACAAAGAAACCCTATTTCACAGGTGCACTGACAAAATGATATATTGCTCCCTGAAGATTTCAGGTCTTTAACACTTCCCTCCTTTCAGACACGATGCAGGATATTTTTAATACAGTGTATTGTGAGTAAAGGACACACTTCCCATTCCAACCTCCATGCCAAGTCTTAGCAGAATGTAAAGTGCCCTATTCAAACCCTGCAGATTAGATTTGTCCTACTGCCTTTTCATTCATTTCCCTTCTGAAAGTTCATAGGACACTGCTGTTTATTTACTGTAGTGAGTTTATCAAGCAAAATATAGTAAGTGATGTAAGCACCTGACAAATAAAAAGAAAGGAGGGCAGCAAGAGGCCAAAGTTAATACAGGGAGTGGGATGAGAAACAGAGCTAGTTAATTGAAATCAGAAAGGCAATTCAGTAAAAGTGAACAGCTTTTTGCCTCCTGTGGAGAAGAGACAGGCAATGCCCTTCTAGATACCAGGGCAAGTTTCATTGACTACTGTGCTGCAAAGGGTAACATTTGTTCCAGTAGTTTTGCATTTAGAGATTTTACAAGCCCTTCCAATTTAACACGGGATTAAAATATCCAGTGTCTGCACCTTTATTACACACTGAGAAAGGAAGCCACAGAGGTAGGAAAGCTGCAAATCAGGATGAAAGGATACATTGAAGAGGTTTTTCCAGCAGTCTGATTCACAGTGGGTAGTGCCCTACACAGTAAATTAGTTCTAGGGAAATGAATGGGGCTATTTATGAAACAGAATAGCTTGGAGCTTGCCCCTTTGCAAGCGATGTAAGTCACTGAGAAACAGCCCTTCACTAGCCGGGAGATTTACTGACTGCTCCTAGTCAAGAGTCAAGCTTGAAAACTTCAGTGGAAACTGTCTCAATACAGTTATTTAATCACAGAACGCTTCTCACAGCCCTGTTACGCTGAGCTCTTTCCCTACAAATGAAAATGATCACCAAGGTCTTTAGTTTATAGGAACATGGTTTTGGAGCAGCCTTCCCCTCGGAAAAGATGCACAAGGTAGCTCAGATTCACCCACCCACCCTGAAAGGAGTCCCAAGGACATACATCCCCGACAACATCACACGTCAAATAACCTTCTGCATGCGCACGTTGACTGAAAAAGCACATTTCCAAGGTCAAATTAACCCAGTAACAATACAAAGCCTTATGAGCAGAATAAAGCCAGCCCAAAATACTGCTCTTACCAAGTTTCACACTTTGCACGCGGCCTCCAATTCGGTCAGTCGCCTCAAGGATAGTTACATCCGTGAAACCGCTTTCCAAGAGCGCTTTTGCTGCTGACAGCCCTGCAAGCCCAGCACCGATAATTACTATTCGAGGCTGTCGTTTTCTCCGTAGGCCACTACTAAGAGGATCATCCGTGCTGTCTCCAGATATTTCACAACTTTGCATGCCGTCCAAGCTCTCTTTCTAAGGAACCTATGGAAAAAGCAAACAAGCGAGTTTAGGGATCTCGGCTCAAACTTCTCTGCAGTTAAAAATCCTAAGGAAGGGGTTGTTTTTTTAAAAAAAAAAAAAAAAAGTCCAGCAGATAAGAAAGAAAACTTGTGAACTAGACCCAGTCTTGAAAATGGGACGCATAGGAAGGATAACTGAGGTCAAATTGGGATGCAACAACTTTTTGGCCTGGAGCACGCACCAGTACTGGAAGCTCCAGAAATCTCCACCCTCTTGTACCATGTAGATTATTTCCAGAGAAGTCAAAGGATTTTCAAACTCCCATCTCTTTATATAACCACCAAAAGTAGCAATTTTGTGGTGGAGACTTTAATATAAAAAAATACATATAAAACCACATGCTCAGTGCCGACAAGCTCCACAACACAGCGATGAAGCTTTGCTTTGCCTCTGTGGCAACCACAAAACTTCAGATCATGTAACTATGGGACTAGGTAAAGAGGATTTAGCTCAAAGCATGGAGATCAGATATCAAACCAATCAGTACAGAAATAGTACAGACGGAAAAATGTTTCAACTGATGAAAGTCAACAAGGGCCAGTCGAAAAATTTGCAGCCACGTGATGCAGCCCCTGGAGCCAACACTGTCCTGCCACATCAAGATCAGCCTCAGACTTTGATGAAGAGAGATTCAAAACTCATACCAGCCCTGACTAGTCCAATTCTACCTCCACCCACTCAATGCATCCAACTGCTCCCCCAAGCAGCATCCTATTTTTCTTTGCAAACTCCTAGAAGGCATCTTTTTAACTGTGTATACCCTTAAGTTCTTGGGTTCCATCACCTTATTTTAGTACACAGCTTGAGTCCACGGTTAAGGTTAAACCTTAACCACGGATACAGCCTGAGTCCATGGTTAAGGTTAAACCAGGGATCACCAGTGTAGGATGTCTTTATAAATGAATGTCAACATCTAGTCATCTGGTTCTGGGTAGGTTCACACCTGCCCTCAAGAGCATGAAGAACAGAGTATAGAGACCCATACTCCACCAGGCCCAAGAAGTTGTCAGTCCTGACTTGCAAAGGATGAACACATAGCCCAGGATTCATCAGCCCTTGAATCAGCTGGTGCCCACCGATTTGGATAAAGCACCCGTGTAATTCCCAGCCTTACCGTCCTCCCCACCCGACACTTACTGAACACAGAGAAACCCAGGGAGCTCATATGCTGCCTCTACCTGTTGCCAAGCTGCTAAATAAACTTCTGTGTTCTTCCCCAACTCACCCAACACTTGGCCAGTGTCAAAGACTCCTGTTTCTCCCTTGCATCATGAGCAGAAGAGTCAAACCTTTGTGCTTAAGACACTGCAGAACTATTGTAGTGTATGATACGTGTACTCATGAAGTGCAAAGCAACAGTGGTTTCATTTTGAGAGTCCTTTTTCCTCCAGGATCTTAAAGCATTTATGCTTGTTGGCCAAGCATCTCCTGGTCTCTGTAATAGAGGTGACACCAGACTGCACTCAGTAGTGGTTTAAGCAGTGGTATAAAAAGTGAAGTGGTCCTACTGGAGCTCTTGACAACTGCTTTGAAAATGTTTAGTTTCAACTGGAACAACTTCAGCTCAATCCACCCTTATCTAGGCTCACCTGCAAGAGAGATAAGCACAGTGCCTGTAACAAACTCCACTTCTGCCAAGGTGGCTTATTCAAACTGCCACTGAACAACGGAATCAGTGACACTGAGCCAGCTCTGCTGCAGCCACGCTAAAAACATCTACATGCAATTACATCAATCATCTCATGGTTTTCATCTCCTGACCAACAGATCTCAGCTAGCAGATATTTGTCACAGGGAGCCAGACATTGTGTTTGAGTTATTTCCAAGATGAAGTCAAGTATGTGTGCAAAGCATCTGATGCTTTCTAGTCCATGGAGAGAGTCACGAAACATGGTCATCTGACAAGCAGAAGCCAAAACCAGGCACTGAACTTACTTTTGAGCAAGCTGGATTCAAAAGCAGTACAACAGTTTGAAAAAGTAGCAGTGAGGAAATTTTTCCCTGTTCCACAAGAAACAATAAAGATCTGGAGAAGGCAGAGTGGGGAGGATGCAAAGCTCCTTCCCTACAGCAGCTGGTGAGATGGCTCCATTTTCTAGTTGCAGACACCTCAGGACTTGTCTTGACTCGACTGTAATGTTGGTTCATTCCCCTTGCAGACTTTCCTCATCTGGGAGAGGAGTGTTTTGTTCTTCTCTATCTTAATCCACTCCAAACGTGGATTTTCAGAATGGATTTTCCCAGGTATGGAAGCCTCCCTCAGGAGTTAGTCCGGAGCTGCTCCATGATGTGTAGGTAAAATCCTCACTAGTCAAGAGGCTGATACAAAAGATGAGACCACTCCTCAAGAGACTCACACAAACACGCCACAGACAGAGATGAGGGACAACATTCTAGTTAGAAACCCAACCAAGAAAAGGAAGCATTACTTTATTTACCAGTGCTCAACAACGGGAAGGAGCTGGGCTTCCTATGAAGAAATATTTTTTTCTGCCATCTTCTCTTGAGGTTGAGTGAAGCCACTACATTTCTTGGGCCCTGTCAATCACTGGTCCTTTACTTACCTCCCCCACCCCCCATATCATTTTAGATTGAAAGTCAATAAATTGACAAGAAGTGAAATTTCTCCAAGTTATTTTAAGATGGGCCCTGAATATTGGGATCTCTGTATTCAGAGCTTCAGGAAAGTCGACCCCTGGGATATGAGGGGAAAAAAAAAAACCATACTGTTACTGAAGGGCACATAAGAACTGCCACAGCAAGTCACATTGAAGAGTCAGATTGGTGTGAAGAGGAAAGACCCTCTTCTGGCAGTGCCACCTTCTACCAGTAAGTCCAATAAGGACATTGTAAGGTAGAGCTAATGTCCAGACCTCTGAGGCTAACAACCCCTGGGACTTCTCCCCCTTGCATTTGCCAACTCTTTTCTGAATCCTTCTGTACTTCTGGCCTTCACAACAACTTTGTGGTGAGGAGCAACGCTGTCTATTAACTTTACGCAAATATTAATGTCCTTTTGGTGGTTTCAAAACCATTTTCCAATGAAAACTGAGGACATCCCCCAGAACTATAAGAAACACTGAACAGTCATTCCCTGTTCACATTCTCCTCAGTGCTAAAGACCTTCCTATATGATCCTAGTCATCTCTTCTTCAGGAAGAAATAAATCTTCATCTGGTTACTCCTTCCTCATTTGTGAGCTATTATAAACCCACAGCTGAAATAACTCTTACTAGAGATGTCTTCAGGATTTATTACAACCCCACAGACATTCTATAGCACTCTCCACTTCTCCCCCAATCTCCAGATAACACTTGGATGCACATATTTCAATTGCCACAGTAAAGAAACATCTTTTCTGCCATCTACATCCTATAGAAATTGAACTGGTTTTGCTCAGTTCTTAAGTACAGCTTTCCTAATCCTGGCTTTGGCAAACTCTTGTGAATTCTGCACATGAAAGCTTCAAGAAAATGTTTTCCCCTCCTGTTTCAGAATTTTAATACTGGATTAGGTGACCTGTCTAGACAGATGAGAAAATAACAGGGTATTTTGTGTGTACAGAATCCTGATTTAGAAACCACCCCTAATTAGTCAACAACCTTTACCATACGATCAGCAGGGGAAGGCAATTAAAATTTAGCAAGAGCTTGGGCTTTCCAACCAGGATACATGCTCCATTGTGAAATGAACAGATGATATAAATATATGAATCCCCACTACACTTTACTTCAGTATCAATTATACACTCTGTTAGGCTCATAAGTAAGACAAGCACATAAAACACGAGCTATTGTGTTTAATGCTCTGCCTTCAATACTTGCTAAGCCACCAGCCAGGGCTTGAGTCAGTGAATATTACTAGGTCCTCTGACACAAAGATAGTTTGGCTTTTTACTTTTTCTTGATTGCCAAAAAGGGTTGTTTCTTTTTTCCTCTTTTTTTTTGTAAATCACAGGGTAAGAAACGTTAGCTGTTGTACAGTGAATCTCTCTGAGGCTGTAATTTTACGTTGTGCCCATCTAAGAGCAGGGGTAGTACTAAATCACAGCTTGACTAACAATAAAATTCCCCCTGCATTGTCTTGCTTATAGCTTTCCTGTAGACAGCTAACAGGCACAAGCTATTCACAATCTTTTTTCTTTTTTAAATCCAAATACACAACTTCCTTCTATCTTAAAAAAATAGCTTTGATCCTCTTACCTCTTGCACTTCTAAATGCTTTACTCATGATACCTGAATCACTCCTTCCTCCAGATCTGCTTCCTCTTCTCAGTCTCTACCTCCATTCTGCCTTTGCCTCCCTAGGTGTCACTACGCTTTGTCCATCCCTTCTCACTACTGTCCATTTCCTTCATTCAAAAAGTTACCTTAAAAAAAAAAAAAATCTCCCTCCCTCCCAAAAAAACCCAACAACACCACAAAACTGAGCTCAGCTGCTGTTTTCCCAGCAGGCAAATCTTTGGGAAATATATTTTCAAAGATGAGCATCATTCTACCAACCCAGAATCATAGGTTTCCATTCCTGGCATTTGTACCCTTCAATCCTATGAGCTCCGCATCCCTTCATCCCTGCTGATTTTAGTTATGCACCCAGCCCTCACTGCTCCCGGCAAAATGACCCTTTTCATTGGCATAGAGATGTCCTGCCAGCTTTCAGCAGGGCTTCACACCAGAGCTATCCTAGCAATAACTTAAAAATCATTTTCAACAGATTCCTTCTCTTCATCCTTTTAATAAAGATACATTCTGGATATATCCCCTTGAACACAGAGTGCCTTCTACTTATTTAAGTTATAGTGGCCCCACAGACAACAGTGACCTAGAAACAGCATGAACGCAAGTGTCACACTGGCCTCCTCTACCTTTAATCCAGCAGCAACAGCAATAAAATTCAAAGGTATGTCCATTTTATGATTTTTCTTCTCATTTTGCCAGTATAACCTTGCAGGTCCCAAAGAA